CTAAAAGTTATTCAGTGGTAATTGAAAAATTGGCGGGTAGTTACGAGACTAGATACACCAATCGTTGAGTGACTGGACTGTAGCAAGAATTTAGATAGCGTCGATGCCAAATAAAGACTCCGAAAAGTAAAACTCAGTGGAATATATGTAAAAACAGTTTGTATCTTTCTCCTTTGGTGTTTTTCAGTAAGAAAACAGTCAGATAACATCCAATTGCCATCGACCATACGTCCTTGATAAACTGTTGTTTGTAATGTTCATCCTCTTTTCTAACGTACCTGAAAGATGGACGAAACGGAGATATTTAAAAACAATAAGAATTAGGAACACCAAGATAATCATAACGTAGACGTAATTCAGGGAATTTTTTCAATTAATTACCGTTAAATAATAGTTTTACAATGCTGCCAGTGTTTTTTTCTCGTGTGTTTTTTGTGTTTGTGTCACAGCAACGAAAAATCCTCGCATACGTTTGAGGGGAAATTTTTCTCAACAGCTGATGAGCGAAAAATATTCTATTTTCTCTGAATAATTCGCCTGAAATAAATTATCAAGCTGACAAATGTTCAATAAGGTATGTATCATTATGATGAATTAATGAGAATTTTGGGGTTTTCATAATTTGTGATGTTTTTCATGTTATGAAATGGTGTCCTCAATTGGATTGGCTTTCACAGAAATAGCAATGGTTGAAACAGGCAGAGAGTACGTTCTACAGTGGTCTGGTCATGCTGCTAATATCACTGAGAGGTTTAGTGGTCTTCTGGCACGCCAGGCACTCGTTGATGTTACATTATTATGCCAGAATCAGGAACTTCGGGTCCATAAACTCGTACTTGCATCCTGCAGTCTCTACTTCGAGGTAAAAATCAACTCTATTGACAATACTATAATTAGATAATGAAGGATCACTCGAAAGTTCACGGAAACGTGATTTTACTGATTTTGGGGAATTGTCTGCAATTTTTCGTTGTAATTTTTTATAAAAAATTGTTTAATCTATCATTAAAAAAATATTTTCTCGTGATTTTTCGTCAATTTCTCCGCATCATTCTGTAGAAATATTTACAAAATGATGCATGAGGCATTTTTTAAGGAATTTAACTTCATAAATTTATTACTGAAGTAATGTTTTGACATTTTTAGGAAATGCTGGAGCAAGATTTGGGGCAGGAGCCTACAATTATACTGAATGATCTTCATTTTAATATTCTCAAGGCTATGATTGAGTTTATGTATTGTGGGGAGACGACGATCGCCCATTGTCACTTGCAATCACTGCTTAATGCAGCACAAGTATTCAAAGTGAGTGCAAACACGAATTATTATTCAACGAGTGTTTTTCATGACTTCTTTTTTCATTTTTGTTTATTTGTTAAGGATATTTTTATTACTTTTCAGCCTATCTGTTCTTCAGCCTTCAGTTAAAATTTATTTCTTTGATCTTGAAACCTTCGAGAAAAAATGAATCGCAATATCTTCTCGCAAAAATAAATAAACATTTCCTTATATTCAGGTAAAACATTTGGAGTCTCTAGTCGCTTCGATTATCGACTCAAACCTCCACGAGGAGACTCCCAGTGACTCCCTCGACTCCCAGGATTCCGAAATCGAGGACGAAAGCTCATACTCAGCCCTCAATAGTTCCAGTGAAATCCAATCCCCAGAGAACGTCGCAGAGAACTTTGAATCGACGAATATCTTCGAAGATTTAACGCTCAGCAGTGATTCACCTCCAGACAATGGAAATACGGTGGAACAAGAGCTGGATACCTGGGATAATTCATCACCAGTGCAGTCACCAGAAATACCTGATGAGAGTCATCAGAATGTAAGTGAAAAGAGTCATGATGATCAGTTAGACTCCCCAGGTGGAATTGGCGAGTGCTCACGTGTTTACATCCACAAAAAACGAAAATGTAGTGACGAAAGAAGAGATGAATTCCTCTCACAGAGTCTCTTCCAGCTTCAGGAGTCTTCAACAACCACTTGCATCGATCTATCTTACGATAAAAACTGTGATATTTCCCCTGTTACCCTTCCCTCAGTCGATCTAGAGTCTGAGTACATATTCAACCTAAACTCTGACAATTTTCAGCCGCTGAGTCCTCCATATTGCTCAATAACAGACAGATACAAAAGTATTTACGATGATTTAGATATCCAAAGATTCACTCCACCTAGTTACAACAATATTCGGAAGATAAAGGAATTGTTTTCTGATCAAAATCAGTGCAACAATATTGGAAACACACCAGTGCTGAGGCGAAGTGTCAGGCTGAATCAATTGGAGAACGATGACACTGTCAATAATAATAGCGAAGCAATTAACTGTAAAAAGACTAAAGACTTCAAGAAGCAGCAGTTGAAGCACCTAAAGAAATTCAATAAAATAAAATCGATAAAGCTGAATGGTAAAAGTAAAGATTCAGAGTCCAGGATATCAGACGAGAACAGAAAACACGTCATCAATTCAAGACCATTAAGGAGTAATCGTAAAATAGTGACGAAAAGTTCCAGTAAATTTTCACTGTCTCGAGAAGAGCCGAAGGGTAAAAATACTAAAATAAAAATAGAGAAGATTAAATCTCTGGATAAAGATGATTTTATTCCAGTGAAGCTGAATACAATAGCATCTGTGGATCGATCTCTCTGGGGTGATATGTCAGATTTGCTGGAGAATTGTCAGAATAATGCAGTTTTGCCTGATTACTCTCAGAGTAAGGAAATACCTTTTGCCGTTGGGCTGCTGCCTCTTCGAGCTGCATTGGAGAGGATGCAAGCAATTCCTGATTATCAACCGAGGAAGACACGATCATCTGTTGCACCGTATAAAGTCGATTCTTGCGGACTCAAGAGGAAAGCAAATGGTGATATCGAGTCCATTGTAATTAGTAAGAAACAGTGCAGTCCTGAGAGGAGTATCGAGTCTGATACTGTCTGCCATATTCAAATACACACGTCTTCCCAGTGCTCACAGAGTAATGAAATTGTTCAAGCTAAACCGTTTATTTCGGTTGAACCAGCGTCAGACAAACGATGACACAAAAAATTGGTTAAAATGAGGATTTAATTTGTTATCATTTCGGGGATTGTTCCTATTTGTTTTATATATATATTTTTTTTTTTTCATTGATTTTTGGACCTCTTTTGAAGAATCCTGCGATTGCCAGTGGCAACATGCCGGTGAGAACAGTCGATTCGAGAATAGTTTAGAGCGAAATAGTTGAATAATAGATTAAAATCTATCAGAACCTCGGGGATATCTTCTGCAGATTAAATTTAAATCGTAAACACGAATGCACGGAATTGTTCGTGTGGAAATAGTGGAATCCTTTTTAGATTCAGAGATATTTATTGTTCATTAAATGAACTCATTTGTTGTCGAGGTTTCATTATTGAATTGTAGCGTGAATTATCGGAAAATAAAAGGTTCGACTGAAATTTAAAGTCAGAATCTTTACCTTTCTGGGGTATTCATAAAATAATTTGTAGAGTCAAGTAATTTCTTCCTAATACTTCGAGGAAAGCGAAAGTTTATTTTTGGTACTATTTTTTGGGGTCGATTCCGGTGATAATTGTGGAGAAAACATGAACAAATAATCGCTCAAATGTAGAGACGCCAGTGAATCTGTGATTGAGAAGAGGAAACAGGAATTATTGTCAAGTATAAATACTTTAAATGCGTAATAATCGTCTTCCCTTCGCTTTCACAACAGAATCCATTTATTATGTATGTAGAAGTGTTAATGTATATAATTTTCATCGACAGTTGCTATATTGTAATTATTGATTTTCATTTATCACATTGATATTCATCCATGAAATTCTATATATTATTTTGTTGATAAGAGGATATGTTATAGCGAACGAAAAGATTGTGATTCTAGATTTACAAATAACCATCCCAATCTTTTTGTGGAATTACGATGTTTATTTCTCATCTAAAGAAAATCATATATACCGTAAATATTTCGTTGATGAAATTGACGAGGCGAAGAACATATTTTTTCAAAATAATAAAATTTCTATATACCTATTACCTACATAACAATCAGAATTTCTTTAAAATCCGAAACAAAACCTTTCCTCAAACCGATAAATAACAAATAACAAAAAATAATAATGACAAAATGCTCATTCAAATGTTCATTTGTTCACGTCAATTTATAATTCAGTTTTATTATTATTGTTTATCAGATAGCTGAAAAAAATATCACTTTTGGTGTAAAAAATCCTTAAGGGAATATCGCACACTGTCGATACGTGAGGATGCCAATAAAAATCGGAGTAATCGAGTAATCGAGGAATCGAATTGGCCGTTGGTACATGGTTGATTTCTCGTGATGGTGGTGGCGCTGTTTCCTGTTCTCCATTCTGTTCTGGCTTTTACTTGAGAGTGTGACCGAACACACACCGTGGTGTGTCCCCACGTCCGTCATATTCCCGGTTTGAAAGCAAGGTTGCGACTAGTTGTTGCGACGCAGGAAGGTGCAGTGAATAGTCCGGTGTTCACACACAGCCAAAAAAATAAAAGATTAAAAATATTGAAATAATACTGACTATTTGTTTGAAGTTGAACGCTGATAAATCAAGTGGTAACGAGTCATTTTGTGGATCGGCCATGGAGAAGCGGATAGAGCTCGAGAAGAGAGGAAGGAATCCCGCCGAAGTAAGACTTTGAAACTTTTACCATTTTTTTTTTTTTTGGCTTCTATCAAATTATTTCCCTTGGTTTTTTGAGATTTATCGGTGATGATCGTTTGGAGGAGTGAAACGGGTCGAGGCATTCCAGGATGTACCTGAATTTTGGAGATGAATTCCACCCCTGCCAGGGCTTTTTTTGGGAGTTTTTGAGGGCTTTGGGGGGAGATTTTTCAGGGTCAGCAGGGCTTTTTTTTTTTTTTCTCTCATCGACAAAATGAAGATGCGATTCTCGCTTTTGTTGAGCCCCAAACAACGACAACACGCGATTTTTTTCAACGTCTCGTCACCGAGCTGCATCTGCTGTTTCACTATTAAATTAACCACTTTTTCACAGTGATTTTATCGGTGCTGGGGGATTGATAATTGATGGTGTCTTGAATTTTTATCGGTGAGAAAAACCGCGTGGCATCATCAAATAGACCATTGGACAGTGTTTCGCGATGCCGACACGAGAGAAGAAGCTACGACAACAGCAGGCATGGCGCGGTTACGAACAGAAAAAATCAGAGGGATTTTCTCCATTTTTGTTTTTGTAATCTATTATTTTTATTATCTATTCAAATCTCCATCGAGTTGATCGGACGAATTATTTTTTTATGTAGATTTTTCGGGGTAATGCTAGGGCGTAGACATTTTTCTGGAGTGTTTAGCAATCATCAGGAGATTTTACTCCAAAATTATCCCCTCGGGTGTTTGAATTTTCCATTGAGAGATTCGGGAATGGGATTGGGGGTCCGGGGATTGACAATGTCTTGAAATTTTTGGGGCATTCAATGTCGGGTGGTGCAACAGCAGGTACATAAAACGTCGTCTACGCCGATGAGCTTCGAAAATCCTAATGCGTCGTTATCCATTTTTTTTTCAGGTGGAGAAGTTGTTTTCATTTTTTGTAAACATTCCGATAATTTTTTCGTTTGATTATTGATTTATAACGGGTTCCCGGCGTTTGGAGAAACGCAAATATTTTTATTAATTGTCGCTTGAGTCTTGGGGAGGATTTATTTAAATAATTGGTGGACGATTAGAATTTTTTTTCATTTTTCCTCGTCGGAAGTTCCTTGACCTCATTTTTTTACTCTCCATTTATCAATTACGGTCTCTAATTCAATTCTACTCGTGCATCTCAATAAATTTAATCACTCGACGAGAGAGAGTGAGGAATTCATTTTTTTTTATTCTCTAATGAGCCTCAGGTACTCCAAAGTGATAACCACCAGAGAAAAGTTTGATAAATTCTCACCCTGCAAGACTGGAGTGCATTAAAAAATTCATGGGTTCACATCGTATGGCTAATTGCTCTCGTATTAATGACACGTAGGCCAAAACTTAAAATCGGGTCACCCAAAAAATCATCCTTAAGACCTCATCAGACCACCTGGACTCTAATTCCATCTCCAAAAATCTGAAAAATCCCACACTGAAAATAAATCCTCAACTTCATGAAGTTCTAGAAGTCAATGGCCGAAGTGGCAAACGCTGAAATTTCTCAAACGAAAACATCAAATAAATATCCCCACAACCCCCCGAAAAAAAAAAAACCCACACCTTAAAATAATGATCTCAGCATCTCAATTCTCCTCCAATTCAAATATCTTCACTGATGTTTTTGAAATAATTAAAAACGGAGTAATTACATAAATAGAGTGATCCCAAAATTATTGAAATGTTCATTAATGAGAATACAGAGTCTTGACATGATCGCAGGGCACGGGATAAAATTCGAGTATCGAGGTAATTAGTGTTAAAATATGTTATGTAAATGAATTAACGATGCCGGGTTTTTGTGAGTCGGTGCAGGGTTTACAAATACCCATGAGGCGGTTTCAGCGCCGTTTGATTTGCGCGTGTGAAAAATAGCCGCCATTGTTGTTCGGAATACGCGACTGTAAAGACATGTTTGTCCTGGGTAAAACATTCGATTACTTCCACCTCCCACATTTAAAAAATCTACCCCAAAATCCCCAACAACACCCCTCACATTATTAAACACGATAAAATCGAATTTTCCACCCCAACTGGTTTATTTATCACTAGGAAAAGTGCAAAGTGTCATGTATACTCCATTTCGAAGCCGCCATATTGGACGAGTCCATTTTGTTGCCAAGTGGTCAGAATCACCGGGAAATAATTCAAATAATGTTATTTCTATTTTGTCACTGCATTCACTGGTTTATCGGTTTGTTTCTTTTTTTATTTTTCAATTGTTTGAGATTTTTTATCGATTTTTCAATCTGTTTCAGGGAGGAAATTTGTGTAGACGTTTGTTGCACATTATTTTGTGTTTTGTGTGTCGTTTGTGCAATGGCGTAACAAGTGGCGCCCATGACACTAAATCTAACGCAACAAACAATGAAATCTCAGTGGAATACACCATGATATTTCCTCCAAAAAAATTTAAATCCCTCAACAACACAACATCTAAGATTTTAAAAAATAATAGATTCCACTCAAATGAATTATAAATCTCAATCTCCCTTACATAACAATTGGATACCGATAAATATCTGCAATGCAGAATAATTTTCATGTACTCCTTAAAAAAATCAATCATTGTTTTGCCTTATTATATAGAAATTATTATCTGATATATTTTTAGCGTAACGAGCTAATCAGAATTATATATTTTATCTACTTCATAAAAATGTTATCAAAACGTCTAGATCTTCATTGAAAACATCTAAAAAGACTGAAGAGACTGGTTTTATTTGATCGATTTAATCAATGATATTCCGACGTTGAAGAGATATCCCTGAATATTTCAGTTATAAAATGAAAAATTAGTTCTAGAAATAGGAAGAGGTTTATTTCAATTCGATCATGAATTTGATATTGACGTTTTATTTGGTGAAATGGCTTTTTGAAGCTTAAGACGCCGACAAGCTTGTAACACTCCATTTAAAACGTTCTTCCCCTCTTTTCATATGCCTTTCCCTCATCAACCCCTGTACCCTACCCTTTTTCAACGTTGTTCACCAAACCCCCCTCACCTTTCTCTTCCAGTCGATCAATAAATACAGAATACCTCCTTTCTCTATCCGATTCTCATTAAAACATTTCTCATTAAGGGAATATCATCCCCTCGTCTCTCCTCCTGTCTTCTGATTTATGCTCTTGAACTTGGAATATTCATTTGTTTATTTCTCTTTATTTTACAGATCACAGAATTCGTTTTGGACAACTGTCGGAGTACCAATATCGTAGGCCTCACAGATGAGTTCGTAGCACTCGAGTCACTCAGTTTAATTAATGTGGGTCTCACAAGTCTCAAGGGTTTTCCTGTTCTACCAAATCTAAAGAAGGTAATTAGGGATATTTTTTTCATGGAATTTAATGCTGTGTACGCTTGCCGTTCTTTTTGACAGATTTATTCAAATGAAGTCATTAATGTCTCAATTAAGTTCAAAGGAATTTGTTGAACTTCTGTATTTTTTTATGACAACTCATTAAAAAGCATTTATTACTTTATCAGATTTATTCTATTCTGGGTAGATAAATTGTTTGGAGTAATTATTAATTTGTATCAATTATTGATAATTATGATTTAGATCCGGTTATTAATTTTTTATTATTTTGCAACAGTTGGAGCTGAGCGATAATCGAATCTCTGGTGGTCTGAATCTTCTCCTTACGAGTCCAAAATTAACTCATCTCAATTTAAGTGGCAATAAAATCAAAGACCTTGACACACTGCAACCATTGGTAAGAAAATGATCTCATTATTGTTAAAATTGTTGGAGCTGAGTATTAAATAAATATTGCAATCAACAGAAAGATTTCAAAAACCTGAAGAGCCTGGATCTGTTCAACAATGAAGCCACAGACATGGACAACTACAGGGAGAAAGTCTTCAGTCTAATCCCTAGCTTAAGATATCTGGATGGGTAATTATTTTGGTATTAATTACGATTTTTTTTTATTAACTCAGGATAATCAATGAGATGTTTCTTGGAACAGATTTGATATGGATGATTGTGAAGTTGATGACAGCGAAGGCGAGGACGATGAGGTGAATGGAAATGACGATGGAGATGGTGATGCTAATGAAGAAGACAGCGAAGAAGGTAAAATTCAAGGATATAATTAATTAATTATGAAAATAATGGGTATATTTTTCCATTGATCCATGGAATATATTTAGTTTCAGAGGAAGATGATGAAGACTTAGATGACGATGAAGTCTGCTTAGGGACTGTCTACAAAGACGATTTAGAGGTGAATATTTAAAATCCTCAGTAAAATTTCATCCCAAAATTGTAGAGAAAATTTGTTGTACTAGATTTATTCTATAACTTTCTTCTGCAATTCATGAATCGTCCAGTATTTTTCAATTGACTTCGATATTTAATTAATTTAGGACAATTTCACTGTTGTGAAATGGAAAAATAATGAATTCAATTGATTATCCACAGAATGACAGTGATGAAGAGGATTATATGGGAGAGGAGGAGGAGGAGGAAGATGTGGATGAGGGTGACAGTGATGAGCCTGATGATGAGGATGGTGAAGTGGTTGAAGGTAAAATAAAATATAAACAATACAATTAATCTGAGAGAATTATTTATGTCTAAAAAATTATATTTCTCAAATCTTCTATGATAATTATTTTACTCCAGAGGATGAGTATTTCAGACTTCCTGAATTTATTTTTCTAATAATTCATAGATCCTCAAATAACTGAATATTCGGAAGAAATATTTTTTTCTCAGTGAGGAATTGAATATTTATTGTACGCGCTCTTTCTTTTTGCCCCTTGACACAGGATCTTAACGATCGATCTGTTTGTTTTCGATAATTCTCTATGATGTCATCTGTATTCAAAACAACAAAAATGTACTATCCTCACGTAAAGAGATAAATACTGTTTACACAGGCTGAATTCCTCACTCTAAAATTATCGTTTTGTCAATTTTAAAATGGTCTGATCCAATTTATTAGAAAATTTAAATTGACACTCGTAATTATTTCATTTATTTATTGAGTTTGATTTATAATCTTTCCAGAATCGTCTCCAGCTCGAGGCAAGAAAAGAAAACATGAAGACGGAGGTGAGCCGGGTAACTAGAGCATCTCGAATTTTTTTTCGATACTGTTGAATGAGTGTAAAATTATTATATAAATAATAACAATAATGCGCCGACGAGTGAGAACAGCTGGGAATCAAACAATTACAAGAAAAAAAAAAAGTAAATAAATAGAGAAGAAAAAAGACCGACCAATGACAGACAGTGTAACTCTATCAGAACTCATGCAGAGGAAAGACAAGAATTGAATATTAAATGAGGAGCAAATAAATATAAACAATCAGACTGAGACAATTGTCTGTGGAGAATTAGATCGATTAATTATTAACAAGAAACAAGAAAATGAAAAAAAAGATGACGGGAGGGGAGGGAGCGATAATGGAAAGGATAATGGATAAAGAGTGAATAGGATTGCATTCCAGCTCGACCCAACACGTTTTAGTTATACTAACGATATTTTATATAGAGTATATAGTTAGAGAATTAGATGTGTTGCACAGGGACGAAGAAACTGCGATGAAGTGAAATAAAAAAATCTTGATGACGTAAATAGTTGAGCTGTCAATGATTCTAGGGAATAATTGTCTGTAATAAACAGAAATTTTTCACTACAGCTATTACGCATTTGACATAATAGTAGATTCGAGAAATCATCCTTTTATTTCACTTCATAACAATATCGACGATTTGATAATGAAAAATCGCAGGAGACAATATTTTCTGTTTTCAATGCGAATTTTTTTGTTTTTAAGTCATCGATGAATTTCAAAATGTCTCAGGAGAATAATAAATGATCAGCTGAATAATAAAAATTGAGGGAATATGGAGCAGAAACAGTTCAAATCGCAAGTAAGAGTGAAAATAATGGAGCGCTATTTGTCTGTTAGCTCCAGTTGGCCAAAGGCTGGTCACGCTGGAATGCAATCGTCGTTAAACAGTAATAAGATTACATAAGTTACATTTTAAATGCATTATTGTATCATTAATTAAACAATTATGGAAATTAACGATGAAATGAGGAATATTGAGGAACAACTTTTTGTACAGGTTTACAAATAAACCGATCAACGGAGATGCACGTGATTTTTTCTTTCGATGGAAAAATACAGATTTCACTTTTTGGGACAGAAAATAAATCGGTAGATTGTGCATCATCGTAATCAGCCACTCTCACTCGCACGGCATTTCTCGGCAGTTGAACGCCCATTTCTTTTTTTTATTGATTAATATATATTATATATATATTTTTGCCCCTCCATTTTTCTCATCTGTTCAATTCGATTCAATTAAAATCATGGAGTTGTGATGAAGGAGTTGATTATTATCTCATGAAAAATAACGTAAACGCTCAATCGTTTGGGACTTATCTCAATTTTTCTTTTTATCATTCATCTGAATTTGTTCTTTTTCCTTTTTTCGTCGTATCGTTTTTCATTACAACTGAAATTGAGTTCTTTGGATCTAGGGGAAGTGTAGGGAGATCCATGTCCATTTAGAGTTCCATTAATCAAAAGAAACATCAAAAAAATCGAAATAATTTCATGTTTCGTTTAATTTCTGTCCCAAAACATAAAGTGCGCTAAGATACCGCTTAATTCTTGAGAATATCACACAAAATTCGGGGAAAACCGAAGGTAAACATTGATTTAAATATTCTGTTATAAATATTCCGAGAATTTGAAAATAATTGCATACGAGATAATTGCGGTAATGCCCAATTGACGAATAGTCGTTCTCAGCAGATTTTCAAAATGACTTTTTCCCACGAAATAATTATAGATCCCGAGCCACACAACAGTAAAATTCCTGTCATTGAATAGATTATTAATTATCGTTTTTATTAGAGATATCAGAATTGTGAACATCGGCGCAAAAATTGAGATTGATAAACAGAATTGTGGAGACGGATTTTAATGACGTAATGGTAATGACCAGTGGACATGCAGACGATACTGACTAGAAAAAAAAATTCATTGACACTGACCATTGTAGAGTGGATGATTGGAGTGCAAAAGAGTGAGAATGTAAGAGAAGATTGGTTTTATAAATAAATAAAAATTTAAAAAAAAGTGAAAAAAAATCTAAGATAAAGTAAACAATTATGGTAGAGTCGAGGACCTGGTGACACCTTGCTGCCAGATTGGTTATGGCCTTATCCAATTTTTCCAAGACTTTGACAAAAAGCAAATTTATATTAGGTAACATTTGAAATGAAAGAACAAATCGTGTACAGGTCCAAGTAATTAAATAAAATGAATAAAAAAAATTAAAACTGTAAATTCACAATTCGTAAGTTTGCTATTGCAGTTCGTGCAGAATTTGAGGCATTGGGGATCGGTGAAACGTTTATGTTTCGATTGATCTTTCTGCGCGCACTGTGACTATGTCAATTGTAATTATTTTTTCTTTTGAAGAAAAGAGGTAACAAAATGAGGAAATGAAAAGGTAATTAATTGCCACTATTTTGTCTGTCTCCCCTTATTTATTTATAAATTTTTATCGTACAGTTTGTTTATTTTGAGCAATCCTCATCACAAAATATGAGAAAGAATAATTTATTAATAAAACCATTTACAAATCTATAGTTAATTTTTCTTATATTCTCCATTTCAAAGTCAAGTCGTCATTTTCCTTTGAGATTTTCTTCAGAATATCAATAAAAAATTAATTCAAAACAATATTATTTTCAACTAATTTTTGCTAAATATGGATTTAACGAAAGTGTCGAAAAACCATTTGAATAATTGCGCCAATGCCTGACGCAACGACGAGAGTCAAAAGAACAACTCCAAAAATATTTCTCGCATTAATTCCTTCATTTTTCTTTTGTTTCAGTTGTTGTTAATTATTAATTCAATAAATTAAAACCAGTGGTGTATCATGGAGAATTTATTTTGTGAATTGAAACGAAAAACAGTTGCTGATTTGACGTCTCCCTGTTTTATCAGAACAAAATGGCGTCACCGCGTCTACCAAGTGCTGCACGTAGTGTTAAATGTGTAAAATAATAACAAAATGGCTGCTACAACTGGTGTCTAGTGTTCTGAGCATTTTCAGAAATGCATTCAGTGCGTGATTGGTGTGAGTGCTGACAGGAGTTCCCAGTAAATTGGAGATAAAAACAGTTTTTTTACTCAAAATAAAGTAATAGTGGTGATCAAGATTATTTCCCTCGGATCAGTACCAGGAGCTGCTGTCGTGTTATCGTGCAACCGAACAATTAAATTATTTTCTAATTTAATTAAATAATATATTGGAAAAAATGGCCGAGAGTAAGAGTGCGTTAATCGCAAAGACAGTGCAAAAACATGCCGGCAGGGCTAAAGAGAAGGTAAGACTTCAAATACAAGTGACTTGCATGCCTTTCATTAGTGCATCCCAATTTTATCAATATATACAACAATTAAACAAAAAAACCATCGAAGGGGAGGCATTAAAATCTCGAATTAATCGAGATTTCACTTCCGTAAATACTTCCACCATTGTAAATATTTGACGTTTAATTGAGTCATTGAAAACCGCGTGACATACCGGCGACCTCTTGTCTGTTAAAAGCTCCACAATTTGTTGTTATTTTCCAAAATCTTATCATTGCAATTCCAACACTTGACCGGATTAACATGAACTTTTGAACGAGCCCTTGAGCTTCTTGAGGTGATTACTGAATGGAGTTACCCTAGATTTTTAATCACTCGATAGATTTTTTGTAATTATTTTACAATTGCAATTTATCTGCGTATCACCTCCACTCGCTATTCACTCGCACAAATTCTATTACATAATCGTCAAACCTCTGGTGCACACCTATTATGAGCCCAGAGTTTCATTTTAAATGACAATTACTTATGCAATACTGACAAGTTGTCTGTCGTGATGCTCGAGACCAAATGCACGTGTACTTTTTTTTTTTATTCGGTTTATCAAATTTTTATCTCTCATTTCGGGATGATGCAGTTTAGTTAATCGATTGAAATTGTTGGATGACTTTAGAGATAAGATATTTTGAGGGGTGAAATTTTCGCGTTGGCATATTGTCCGAAATAGCGTCCACCCACTAACTTGTTCTATTTTTTGAGGAAAGGAGATCGTCATCGACTGAATGCCCCCGAAATTATTAAAAATACCAGAATTGTTATTAACAAATTCATTAATTAAATTAATAATAACAATAATAATCGGATTATTATTGTGATTATTAATTTAATTATACTCTTTTTATTCAATTATTTCTCATTGCAAATTAAATTAATAACAATAATAATAACAACAATAATAATAATAACAATAATAGGATTATTATTGTGATTATTATTATTAATTGAAGTTGCAATGAGAAATAATTGAATAAAAATAGTACAATTATTTAAATTCCGTGAATTTGAGTAATTGCATAATAATTTTTATTTAACAAAATGAGATTTAGTAAGAATAATAAGTTATCTCGTGGTATTGAAGACTTCGCGACATTGAAATCCCAGAAGAAACATTTGGTGAATATTATCAGTTAGATAACAATTTGTCAGAGACGTTGGACCCCCGGGAAAATGAGGTCTGCAAAACCTAGTGCACGTACTCGTTATCCCTGAGTTATCTGGTACAAACTAGAATCCAAATACGGTTAACATTTCTCAGTAGAATAGCGTGCTGTATTCAAGTGTTAAACACCCGCTCGATTGATGTTTATGAAGGGGAAAAGTCTAAAGAGTCAGTCAGCGAATGTAAAAGCGTGACAAAAATTTCTGGGTAGGGATTAATGACAATATTAATAAATCTATAAGTTATAATTTATAAATAATGGGGGAGAGGGGGAGAGAAGATTACAGGTTTAATTCTATTGGTTGTGGCATTTGGGGTGAAAAACAGTCAATGGATTTTTCTGGAATTCTAAAACAAAATAGTGGGATGCGATCAATTATTTGGGAATTATCATAATTATATGCCGCCAATTGTGTCATTGTTGAGTACGTAAGAGACTCTTTTTAGTGGGTTTATTGAAGGTGCGGTTGTTTGTGAGTCATATGTCAGTGAAATACATTACCGCACCTTTGATAAACACTCGACATTTTTGGATTGTCATTAATTGATGAATAGATAGGCTAATGATGGATTGCTCAATTCAAATATTTTTTTCTTGTCTAGCTCTATTGATTTCAACCTTGAATAATTAACAGTGAAATACTGATAAATATTAATGCGGGGGCAGGGAATAAACGACACCTTAAGAAAATGAAAAATAATATTTTTTCGCTCGGAATGTTTATAAATAAAATATTTTGTGGGGCGGAGGCAACAACGACATATATTTCGTTATTTTGTAGGGATTTCCTAGTTGAAAAATTCAAATTTCCCGCTTAATTTTCAATTATTTATATAAGCGTTTACCTCTCTTTTTTTTATGATTTAAACACCAGAAATTATGGAAATGAAAAAATGAAAAAATGGAAAACTCAAAAAATTTCTTGTCTATTTTCACCCTAATATAGATTAATAATAATTATTATTAATAAATATATCAATGTTCATCAAGATGTACATATCAATTAAAATATGACAATGAGAATTAATATTGATATAATATTAATACTAATAGTCAGTGGAATTGAGCTAGAGGAAAGTTTATTAAATGAAATGATAATTTCGTAATTTTTTAATTTCATTTTCATTTTCATGTTTTTTGAAATCGTTTTGGTTCAAATACGATTCTCCATATAAAATACAATAAATATTTGTTATAAGACAATAAAAAAAGATTAAGTATTACAATTTATTGAGGAAAAATGTGGAAATGCGAGTGGTTTTTTTTTTTAGTTTAACGATTTTTGGGGGACAATCGGAAATAGTAGAAATACTTGAAATATTTTGATACTAATCTCTCATCGAATCGATTTATTTCCTCATTTTTTTTCTTTCGCTTTTTTATTCAGCTGAAAAATGTGGCATTGACGTTAAAATGATTTGTCCGTTAGTGAGGTAGATAATCGGGTCGACTGGGTGCCGTCTTACTAACCGGTTTGTACAGTTTTTTGCTTGAAAATGTGTGTGACATGGAACAAGGCGTTTACTTCCTTTAAATTCAGTAAATTCAATCCGATGAATCCGGAAAATTCACACTGAGAGAAAAGTCCGGTAAAAATTACTCTCGTGGAGTACAAATTATTGATCGTAACGATTTGACCGATTTTTCCTGTACGTGAATATTTTTCGAGACGAGTTTTTGGCCGATATCTCGGGATTGGAGGAACTTGGCGAAATTTTTGGGTTAATGTTTTTTGTGGGAAAATGTGAGAGCTATAAAAAAGGTGTCTTTGAAAATATCGATATTTTTCTTTAATTTCGAGAAATCGGGGAAAATGCAACAGATTTCGGAGCAGTTTATTTTTTTTTTGTTTTCGGAGCAGTCATGCCACATTTTCGTCTTTTTTCAGTGACAGACTCGAAAATTTAATGGAGTTTCTGGTTTTTCTGATATATTTCGATAGGAATTTATTTTAAATTACTCTCGCTTATAATTTTCCTTGAACATTTCTCCCCTTGCTGGACTAGGACAGAAAATCGAGGAATTTATCCGATTACCTAGAATAATCGAAATCCAAAAAACTCGGATATTCTTCATATAAATATAAATAATATTTCTAACTATAAAATAACGAAAAAAAAAATCCAAACAATTTCATTTACCCAAAAAATCGGAAGATTTATTTTCTAATACTCAATTTTCTCCTTAGAAATTACACCGAATAAATAAATAAGTTAATTAATTAATTAATTAATTAATTAAGAAAATAAATGAATAAATAAATGAATAAATCATTCCGATTTTATGGATCCGGGAAAAATGACGCAATTTGGACTGAATAATTCTGCCGATGAGGTGTAACCATGTAATAAAATCTTCCCTTATAATTTCATCCGCGGAGATGTATATATGTACATTTACATACGTTGGAAAATCGTCTTGTGGTGTTTTAGACAGTAACTGTCCACTCTCGATCTTCGTTTACCTCGGCATCCCGTTACTATTCTCGGAGAGTCCCGGGTAACTTGTCGCTTGGTTTTTTTTTCTTTTTTTTCCTCTTTTCCTTTAGCCCTGGCTACAGTAGGCAAATATATCTACGAGGCTTCGGGTCTATCCCTGTCGGTTTTCTGGTGATACCTCAGACTTCCGTATGGCTTTTACGATACGGGAAATTATTTATTTCTAGTCGGAAAATTCAGGCGCCCCCTTTTCCACAATTCTCGATTTATTAAAAAATTATTGAAAATTATTGACGAGTTTTCATCAATTATCTCAAAATTGAAGGCAGATATCGACATTTTCATAATGACCTTTTTTGTAGATCTCATCTTTCTCCCTAGAAAAGGTATCCACAAGAATCTCTCTATTTCCCTTCAAATCCGAGTTATCAGGTCTTAAAGTAAAATTCACTCGCCACCGAATTTTCGTTTACTTTTACAGGACACTCTTTTATTTATTTATTAAATCCTTCATTTAAATTCTTCTTGGTGTACATTATTGGCGATATTATCACGATTATTAATATTGTTAATATTAAATGGTTCTTATTTTTTATGAGAGAATCCGTTGTTGAGGTGGAATTTTACCGAGAAAATGTTGAGATGCTGCAAGAATCTTTTATCCATTGTCTCGTGCTTATACTGATAGTACAGTTGAGTGGTCTATTCAACAAGTACCTACACTGTGGTAATTTCAACCACGATAAAGGTCATATTCAAATGACCTCGAATCGAGCTCTCGAATGGAAAACATTGCGATCGCGTTTTCAATCGTTCCATTAAAATTGTTGTTAACGCTATATAAAATAGTCTATAAACATTAAACATTTTCACCTGATTATACTCGTGATAACTATCGCGTGATTATAACACCATTTGCTATCTATCGAGCTTGAATTTCTCTTATGAAATGCAATTGTCTGGTGGAAAATGGAAGTATTCAAATGATTTTATTTTAATTTCAACTCTTTATCTCTTTATCTCAACTCTTTATCATCAAAATATACTGATAACACAGTTTAATAATTTAAACAATTATTTTAGGGATTATTCTTTCATGGGAGGGAGATTAATCGGTTTTAATGATTTATGAAAATTATATTTTGATGATTAAAATTGAATTGTGAGATTCTGTTGAAATTGGGAATAATTATTGGAGTTAAAGGATTATTTCTCTCTTTCTTTCGGAGTCAGGTAGTGCTAGGTACTCGTTTGAAAGAGCAGTAAATAAACTTCAAGAAAATAAGTCGATTATTTGTTTATCGCGGTTTGAAGTTGAAAATAGGGATTTTCATGTTTTACTTACATTTGCACTTT